AGAGGGGGCAGTCCTGTCTCAAAAGGATACTTGGGGACATTAAGTCCACCTGGGTCTCATAAGCCTCTGAATTAGCTTTGCCCTTGGCAGCAACAAGGATGGTGGGGCAAAAGCTAAATGAGAAACTGAAATGGCAATTTGGAGCCAACTTGGGAACTTCAAGAAACATCCTTGTTGCTAATAACATGTCTGGGGGCTGGTTGGAATTCTAGGATTAGTGTTCAAGAGATAGAAATGGGTAACAACGGGGGAGGTGTGATCTCTCCCAAGTGCCACACCAGGTATTAAAATAAACAGGCTCTTGCCTCCTGGAGCTGAGGGTGGCAGGGAAAAGAAATCTGGGTCCCAGCAAAATCAGAAAAAGCATCAATGTGTGAAGTGGGAGTAGGAAGGCTAACCTGGGAGTCCTCAGCATCCCCAAGCTCTCCGTATTTCAGAGTTGCCACTTTGGGGGCAGAGAAGGATCATGCAGTCTCAGGTGGGTCTGGAACCAGTGCCCTGTGTTTGGAGACTGAACATACCACTATCTTGGAGGCTTAGCAAGGTTGGCTGTTGGCCTGGTGGCTGAGTGCAGAGGAGGAAAGGACCTGTAAGGGAACCTTCAGTGGAATGAAGGGGGATGCTGTAGCGCAGCTGTAAGGACACAGGGAGTCGGAAGACATGGCTTTGCTGCATCTCAGGAAAAATGAAAATACTCAATTCACAGGATGATCAGGTATCATGAACATAAAAGTGCCTTTACTGTTTTTCAACTGCCACAAAAACTTGAGCATCACTATAGAAGAGGAAATAGTCTCTCTCTGGCCCCTGGTGCACTTTAGAAACACTTGGGGAGTTTTGTAAAATGCAGATTCCCCCAGTCCCCACCCCAGCCTGGCTGAACAGAATCATCAGTCTTTTATGAAAGCTCTCCGGTGATGTATCAATGTGCACCCAAGAGTTTAGAGCCTCTGCCCTAAGGATTCTCTTGGCCCCAACTGACATGCTTACCTGGTGAACCCAATTAGATCTCAGTAAGGCCCATCCCACTTTGTATCTTTGACCCTGAACCTCAACAAAGACCCACCCTGACCCCACTCCTCCCCAAGTATTATTCCTATTACAGTTGGGGATAACTGCTGCCCAGCAAGAGACAGCCAAAAAGTTCCTAGCTGCCAAAGGCAGTTCGTTCATGGTGTTTGCAGCCAAGCAATAAAAGCAGTTTTTATTCTAAGCACCTAAGTGCCAAGCACTAACCGTGCTTACCTGCACTAAGTCAACTGGTGGAGAGGTTCAGGGACTAGTCCAAGGGCATCTTAGTGATGGATCCCTCTGCCTCTTTCCCCTACTCCAGGCTGTGGCTCATCAGAACCTGTGGGTGGTGCCTCTATCTTGACAACACCTGGGTCACGTCCCCCCAGTGACACACATGCAGGTGACTTAAACTCCTTGGGAAGCTTGCTTTTCAGCAGCATTAATTCTACTCTCTTGGGAACATGCAGGCCAAGTCCAGTCTGAAAGCCCTTTATAAACTGAGGGATTAGTGAAATGTCCACAGTAATAGGAAACTGATGAGCTCTGTCTGCTGTGCTCCTTCCGCCCATGGGACCATCTGCCTGGAGCTCCAGCAAGGGATCTGCCGGGGAAGACAGGCTGGCTCCTTCTGGTGGGGCAGTGATGGTGGTATGGGGCTTGGTTAACAGGAGCCTCTGGGATTTCTCCTCAGGCCAATCTTGATTTCATCTGGCTAAATCCCTGGGAGGGTTAGGGCAGGCAACGTAAAGTTCTACTAGTGTGGTTATCAATGCCCTATCCCTCCCTGGCCAGCTGTGTTGTCCTACAGTGTCAGTTCTGAGAACAAAGTACATACACCACGAATGTCATTTTGTGTAAATGAAGTTTATTGAGGAAGACACAAGGTCAAGCTTCCCTCAACCCCCACCCTCCCCAAGATCAGATCCCAACATTTATCCCTCCCCCCTCCCCATTTCTCTCCAGAGTCCCAAGCTTCACAACACAGACACACAGAACAGGCTTGGGCGAGGACAGACACTCAGGGAATCTCTGACCAGCAAAAGAGTTCTGGCTGTGTGTGCGCTTCCCGTGCCCTTTATGTGACACCAACTGACTTGGCAAAGACATACGGAGGCAGAGGGGAGGGAAACGCAGGGCCATCTCATTCCATTTCCCCAATTCAGCCAAGCTTGAAATAGGCCAAAAGGGAAGCACTGGTGGAGGCAATAGGTGCTGACTCTTCAGGAGACAGGTCCTTTTCTGTGGAGCAGAATCCCTCCCTAAGTGCTGGGGAGCACAGGAGGCAGCCTCCCCAAGGGGCGAGTTTCCAGATTGGCTTGGTCAGGTCAGCCGAGAGCAGCAGTTGTTACCATCACTGCTGGGGAGGCTGAGAGAAGCCGTTTCAGGGGCGGAGGAACATATCCTAATACAAAATTGTTTTCTGTTTGCTTACCCCAACACACTCCTCCTTTTGGAACTACAATTTGCTTTGAGATGATAACACTATTTGTAGTGTGAACCTTCACTGCTTGTATCCAACTGGCTCTGACTGATTTCCCAACCAGGAACTTCATCCACGTGCTTTTCCGCCCCACACACCACCAACCCACCCACCTCCCACACACAACCCTTACTTCCTATTCTCCGTGTGCCTGCGGGGCGGTGAGCGCAGGACACAGTTCCTTTCCCCAACTGCAGCAATTCTTCTCTTGGAGATTCTCAAGGTTTAAGAAACTGCTTTGGGGGACTCACTCCCCCAAGCTTTGCAAATGGTATAAATCGGGGTCATTTCAGATATGGCAGGACTGGGGGGCAGTTTCTGTTCTTGTTGTCTCTATGTTTCCTCCTCTGGGACTCACTCGTAGGTCTGAGTCCAATATCAGGCCTTTGGACCCCAAAGTGTCTCTGATTTGAGTAGGGACAGCTGAGAAACAGTCTTGGTCGTGGACCCTGAATACTGGGTGCCAAGGCAACGCAACAAGTGCCCACAGATGAAACGGAGTGAACACTGCTAAATAGACTGGTGTTTTGGGCATGAAGCAATCGTTGATAAATCACACCCAATGTGTTCAGCAAGGGGATTTCACATCTCCCTAGCTTTTGAGAGATGACAAGAACTGCTTGCCCCTCTGAGATGATCTCAATTGCCTTGGAGCCTAAATAACACAAGTAAAGAGCAGATCAGAGAGCTGCAGGGATAAAGGGAATCCGTGACACCTCTAAGCTCACTTCATCTCTGTGCCCACCCTGTTGGCTTCAAGAACAGCTCCAGGACCTTATGGGAAACATTAGCTACCTCTTCATTCAGGCATCTGGATTTACCTTCAAGTGACTGAAAGGATACTCTGCTGCCACCTGATGCCAATGAATGAAGTGCCAAAATCAGTATGGAATATGAGAAAAGCCATAAAGAAGCAGGCACAGAAAAGGCACGAGGAAGGCATTGAGGGAAAAAAAAAGACACTACTGCAGTGAAAACAACATTGATGGGGATTTAGGAGACCCAGTCCCTCAGCTCTGCTACTGAACAGCTAACAGGCCTCAGGAAATAATACCCTTTTTACCTTTTACTGTTTTCTTTTTTAGAAAACCAGGGTTGGGTAAGTTATTAATTAAAGTCTGTTTCAACTCTAAAAGTATGAGTTTTAGATCTGAAATGGACCTGAGAATTAAACCAAATAAAGGGTGGGGGGTAGGGGAAAGGCCTTTTGGTTCCTATTTCCCATCTCTACTCAAATTCCTTAATAGTTTTATTAATGGGTCAGAGCAGGGGAAAGGAATGTAGTAAGTTCTAATTTCTCTCAACCTTGGTACTGATGGGCCCTATTCCTGCACCCTAAGCAGCATTCAAGGAAGACCACTATTCCCAACTGTAGAGCAATCAAATGAGATGATAATGCAGGGCAGGGGAATCTCAAGGAAATGGAGTTTGCTGGAAAGGAAAAAAAGTGACAATCCAATTGACTAGGAACAAGGCTGTCACAAATAAGAAAACCCCTAACAGGGCGGGCAAGAAACCGTGTCTCTTCCTCCAGGACTGCGCAGGGAAATGACAGTCCGTTGTTTTAACACTTTCTAACAATGATTACATTGCTCCCTCAATTTCTCATATGTACAAAAATATAAAACAATAAAGTGCAATTTATGTTTCAGTGACACTTTTCCTTGCTTTAATATTTTTTGTCTTTTTCTGCTTTTGAAATGAGTTCTCAATTACAAAATATCAACCTACGCTCAACATTGCCAGCCATTGGCCCGGTATGGAGAAGCCCACAAGTAAGGACAGACAGCAGCAGCAGGTGGCAAAAGGTGGGGAGTGATTGAAGCAGTGGTTACAAACGTTCACAGGAAGTTAACACTATCCAACAGGTTGCGCCCTAATTTAGCACAGGTTAGACTAGTCACTACCTTGGTGGGTGGCCTCAGTGAATTTAGGTTCAGATTCTACACGACAACACAATTTCTTCCAGTTATGAGTTCTTGGCTTGCACTGATCACAGGATGGCCGGAGGGCACTGGAGTAGTCTATTAGTTTTTCAAAATGCTGTCATAGACCTGATAGATGTACTGAGAGACTTCAGGGGCTCTACACTTCAGCGACAGCTGTTGGGAGGAAAAGGAGAAGATTAGCATGGAGACTGGCATTAACTCGAAAGGTAGCCAAGAATTCAATTTAAGAAAACCTCTTTCTGATACAGTGGGAGAGGAGCTCTATCACTTAGTAGTCAAAGATCATTAGTAGGTACTGTATTATGGGTTTTAGAATCTCAATTTATTCAATGACAGGCTATGCTGTGTTTCCACCTATATTCTACATGGGTCAGTGAGGTTAGGAAATATTACATACTAAAAACATCAAAGTCTCTGTAGGGGAACAGCTGCTCCAATGCTTTACTAAGCGTCACAGGGATTATTTCCCAAATAAAAAGGGAAAGGCTAAAGCCTTAACTTGCTGGTGGTCATTTCAGCTGTCTGCTTCTCAGACCCACAGGGATGCTTATATCAGTCCCAGTACAGGAGGCTGTACAATCAAGTAAAATAGAAGTATCAGCTGGCCAAGCCCAAGGTACTAGTACTTTCTGCATTATATCGAGCAGAGCACACACTGTCATGGAGGGAAAATGAGAATTATCACAAAAAAGACATTTACTTAACAACCGGAGAGCAATTCATGCCAACAGCTTAATCTTATTTTCTGCCTCCTTTAGAAGGCAAATCAGATACTTCTGATACCACTCTACTTCTCTATCATCACCTCTTCCAGTCTAACAATTAACAAATTAAAATGAAAATATTAAAAGATTTCAATGTTGAACACTGAAATTTTCACTTCATTGATCAACAAGCACAAAATTTAAACCCAGATTTGGACTCAATCGTATTAGCTCAGGCAAAATATTAGTAATACAATAGTGGAAGCAGGCAAATTGCATTTAGAACCAGAAAATTTCATATTTGCTTTCTGTATTGCTGACACCACTGCTCTTATCTATTAGGGCAGATCAACAAAAGTTGTCTTTAATGATGTATCACCATGACATTTTAGATCATTTTGCCTCTTCATTCTCTCATTAGAGACTCTAGATGAGTTAACAGTATAAAAGGTGAGAATATTTTTGTCAAAAATGTGAAGAAGATACTGGTCAACCCCTGAACTTGGAAGAAACTCACATCCTCAAAACTTAAAGTGATTTTCCACCTCCTTTGCCACGCTGGCACCTGTGAGAAAGCTTGTGGCGAAGGGGGGCCAAAAAAAAAAA